ATTAATATCTGCTTTGATAAAAGCAGATCAACATGTTGTTATAAATAACATACCACTGAGCATATCAGTATTAAAGGCACACAACTGTGTAGTACTTTGTGCTGATGTATGCTTAACCGTGTAGAACTTGGAGCATTCACACACATAGCATGCTCTTAACTTTTACTTAATTAGCTTATCTAAAATAATAATAGAATATGGGGCCCTGTGGCATTGGTGCTATGTAGTTTTATTACCACTCTGCCAGCTTTCTGGAAAACACTGCACAAATTTCCCTATGTAAGAACTCTCCCTGGATGTGGCAAGGGCCAGAAGAAAGAAAAAGGATGTAAAATAAGAATGCTACGTTTGCAGCTTATACGTGCTTTTTTTGTCCCTTGTGACAGTATCGGCTTGATGTAATATTTAAAGACAAGTAAGCAAAGTCATTGACACAATTTCTTGCTTGTGCTGTGATCTATTTAGGCTGAATTCTGTTGACAGCTGAATAACACTGTTACCTGCCAGTACAATTACAGTACTGTCCGCCTTCATTTTCAAATCCAATTTGTGTTTAATAAAATGAAAGATGAAAGCAACCTGGCTGAAAGTGCATCATCAGCACCCGCTTTCTGAATAATGGATTTGAAAGATTGGAAAGTCACCAAACTAGTTACAATACTGGAGTGAATCTAGGGCAGGGAAACTTCAGCATGACTTATTGCAAGCTGATGACATAAATCATCCAGGAGAGGCTAGTGAAGACCTACTACTGAGCTTATTTATTGCAGAGAAGATTGACATTAATGAGGCGAGGGAGCAGGATGGGGTCTTCTGAGATCAAAATCCTGGTGTGTCCTTCAGAGTAACGGTGTCCCTTCAGAGAGCACTAGAGCTTGAGTGTCCAGAGAGACACCTCGCTCCAAAATACACAGCAGTGTTTCTTCCCCACTGTAAAGTCGTAACAAAGTGTAATGTCACACCAAAGTGCCACACCATAGTGTGATATTGCACTGTACTACTGGGTCTACTGGGACTGAGAACAGCCCAACCGTGCTGCCATGGACTATGTCACTGTACTGGCAAGATTGATGGGCCTATTTCAGAAGTAGTAATAGGTGTATGAACACTATAGCTTTGCTGCTTTTATAGCTTTGCCTCACTTAGCTGGTATTACCTATTTTCCCTCAATTTTGATTGCCTTTGCTGCTATGAGTTTGACTGTTGTGGGGAGGATCTTGTGGTAAGTACTGCTCAAGAATGTGTTGTCCATAGTAAAGTAGTAAAGACCAAACCAATCTCTTGTGAAAAATACTGAGCAACTCCTGTTTTTAATCTTCTCTTTGGGCACATGCAAAGGATATACTTCGGTTGTGGTTCATGCAGGTTGAATTATTCCTGCTTGTTGCCTGTGAGCGGAGGACTGCAAGGTCCTCTGTGGTTTTGGGGCTGATTTTGATTAGGACTGTTTTTGCCCTCTTGGGGACAATTATCAAATGCTGTGTTAAATGGAGATAGTTTCTAATGTGGTGTTGTTTTCAGCTGTGATTCTAGTTCAGTCTTTAGTTCTAACTCAGTAAAAATTTAAAACGATGCTTCTAGATTAAAAAAAAAAAATTAAAAAAATTAAGGGCTTTTGAATTTGACTTGAATCTCCTGTGGTATCTTGCCTATGTTTATACTCTTTCCTTTACCTGCTGTACTGTAAGATGTGTTGCCTGTCTCTTTGCCTGCCTGAGTTTCCTGTTTTGTTCAGTCTTGTCCTGTGATATTTATTTCTCTCTGTCTCTACCTGGTGCTTGTAAGTGTCTTAATTTTATTTTTTCTTGATTCGTTTCTGCGATGCTTTATTTTATAAAAGATGACACCTGGCCAGGAATACTTGTTTAGCCCATYGGTTATCAAAACTGTTTGTTTAATCAAAGAATTGTTTGACATTTCTGCAGATATAAATGAGTTCAGGTACATATGATAATCAGAAAATTGAGTCATCTTAGTGATCATCTTTTGTGCGAAATGGTAATTATGCAGCAGTCATTTATTTAAAACTTACTCTTGCATGAATGGTAATGCACAGAGGAATTCTTTGGATTTCAAAAACCTGGGCATACCAAAAGGGTYGTGATTTTGCGTTAGTACTGCCGTCAGTATGGACCATATAATGCTTGTCAGTTGGGCAAGTAAAGTAAATATCCAAAAGTTAAGTTCCATCAAACATGTTCCTCAAGCAAGGACAGAGGAGTGAATGGAGCCACTAATGATGAGCTGAAAAACTGTGCAAGTGTCTCTCTGAGAGCTGCTGTAACAAGAACCAGGATGTCAAAACTTTAAGGGCCTTGAGAACTATTAGTAGGGCCTTAAAAGAGGGGAGATTGTATTCAAGGGATCTGATCAACAGCTCTCTAATGTTAATAAGATATTTTCCAAGTACTTTGAATTTTTGGGCTTTGAATGAGGCCTGCGTTCCAAGCGAATGTGTGATATTGCACCCATCTGTTGTCATCAGAATGACACCCTCTCCAGGGAAGATTATTTCCTTTTGGAAAAGGATGGCCCCACAAAGGAAATAATTGATAGTCTTAAATTCTGTACTTCGGCTCTTTCTTATAATCCTCATAGAGCAGGAAAAATGACTAGCAGCTTCACAATACTTTAGGCACATCTGATAATGGAGTAATTATTTTACACAAGAGCACCTTCTTTATTGCAGAGATGAGCATTTAGTTCTATCTATACACAGCTTTGTAATAAAGGTAATAATTTCCAGCAGAACATGTGTGATTAACCGAGCAACTCAATATAGAGTTGTCAATCGTGAATGTTCTGGCAGCAAGGAATGAACAAGGACACCTTGTCTCTGATGATTATTATTGGGGTGGGGGTGGTGGGCAAAAAGATGTGTGAATAGTGTCTCAACTCCCCAAAGATGTTTTCTTTAGAGCTGCAAAACTGAATATGACTGAGACTGGGGGATAAGTGAAGTATCAGAAATGGCTGCCTGCCTGCTACTAAACAAAGCTGTCGCTAGGAATAAATCGAACTTGAAGCAGAAGGAAAAGATCGAGGAAATGCATGGTCTGTACCTGAGAAACTCTGAGTAAGTAGAGGGAGAAAAACTAGCACAAATTATACTTCTGTTTAGGACTGTAAAGTCCTAAACTGAAATTAACATTTAAACCGTAATTTTTGATGTTTTGATTTTTTTTCTTTAAAAGTGGTGAGTATGAGAAGTGACATTCTGTAAGTCATTCTGTTAAAAGAAGCAGGATTTTTTTGTGTGTGTGTGCRTGTTTTTTTTCATAGTGCRTATAAGTGGAATGTATCTTTTTAAAGAATTTTGATTCTATATGTTGCTGCTTCTCAAACTGGTAATTGTATTGGTGCTTGCATTATAAAAATTAATATATTATTGCAATGTTACTTTCATACATTTAGGGTGAAAGAAAGTTCAATAAAAGGGCATTGGGAACGTACAGTTCTCAATCTAGTAAAAGCTGGGTACAACAGACATTAGTGGAAATCAAAGCAGCTTTGTAGAAACAAGCATTTGAGTTGCAGTTTATTAGAACAGTTTATCTTTGAAATGCTGTGGGCAACCACTGCCTCTGTCCAAACTACTGATCTAGTAGCTTCTTGGGAAGAGGACCCCAGTGTGGCACATTCAGATATCTTTCACTGAGTGGTGCACCTCTCTTACTGTATGGAAAATAAATAATATCTTACCTTTCCATCCCTTAGATTTTAGATTYTGCAATGTGGATGCTGATCAGCTTTTACTTGCTTAAAAATATGTAGTGTGTAAATAGAACAACTGTCTGTAGTTGCTGACTGCCTGCGGTAGTGCATTCCACAGACTATGTTTGGGTGAAGTCCATTCCCCGTGTTCCCCAAGCCCTGTTATGAGGGTGGCTGTTTTRTGGGAACAAAAGCAAAGCCACATTTGTTCATGAACAAAACGCACAGAGCTGTGAGCATCGTGAAATGTTACACCAGTTTTTAATTCACTCCCTTGCTGATTTGCCCAAATTAGGTGAGTCAGAGTCTAGGTGCCAACTCTGTTGGGAGAGATGGGTTTTAATGAATGGAGCTTGTTTCTCCATCCTCCTTTGAGCTGTTGACTTTTGAGGAGTAAGTATAATGTTACCAATCTTTACCTAATTGTGTTTTTTTAAGTGAAATGTTGATTTAAAATGTAATGGAAATATCTCCATTCTSTATGATATTGAATAATATTACTAAGAAGAAACCATATATTTCTTCGTAGTGGTTATGCTTACTGATGCAGAATTTATTATTCTCTTATGTAACTTGAGAAGATTAGCTGTGGCACATAGTTTATTTTGAAATACCTGAGTAAATATATTATCTTGATTAAAAGATTCCAAACTATGCAATTTCAGCCTGGAGAAGAGAAGGCTGAGGGGGGACCTGATCAGCGTGTATAAATACCTCAAGGGAGGCAGTGAGGAGGAGGGGGGCGGCCTCTTTTCAGTGGTGGACAGTGATAGGACTAGAGGAAATGRCTTCAAACTGAAGCATCGGAAGTTCCACAGGAACTTAAGGAAGCATTTCTTCACTGTGAGGGTGACAAAGCACTGGAACAGGCTGCCCAAAGAGGTTGTGAAGTCTCCTTCTTTGGAGATCTTTAAAACCTGCTTGGATGCAGCCCTGTGCCACGTGCTCTAGGTGACCCTGCGTGTACAGGGGGRTTGGACTCGATGACCTCTGAGGTCCCTTCCAACCTTGGGTATTCTATGAAGTCTATGCAAAACATCAACACTTCCTGAATCACTCCTAGTCACTCAAACATGTAGTTAAGTGCTGTAAAGCTATTGATCTTAGCTTTAAAGCAATGTAAGCATCATCAGTAAAAAAGATATCCTTTGACAGAAGTATAAAAAACAAACCACAATCCAAAGTTGCAGTGAAGGAAACATCCCTTTAAAGTTGGCCCTTAAAAGTTTTGACATCCATATTTCTTTTTTGTCTTCTAATGACAGAGCGGTGGAAGAAGACAAATATCATCCAGAGCCACTTCACAAGCATCTTTTTGAAGAGGATATGGGGATATTGAGGTATGTGTGAGAGGAAAGTCAAAGCAGGTCCCAGACAAAATTGAGGCTTCTAAAGATAGGATGAAGCACAACTGAGGTGGCTATAGATGTGGAAAGGGTTGGGTTTAAATTTTGTAAAAATGTACGGTTAAATCATTTAATTAACTATTTCTGAACTCACAGGAATATATTTTGAGATTAAGTTCAAAATCTAATTACACCTCATTATTTTTACTTTTTGTAGTGAGYATGTTCTCATAGAATTGAGGACTGAATCCCTGCCATTGTGACTAGACCTTTTATTGCCCTCAAAGAGGGTTTCTCTACCTCCCATTTCCAGGTCAACTGAAATCTTACTGAAACCCTATCGCTTCTTTCATCCTTTCATAAATCACCACTGGAGAAAGAAGACTGTTTTTCTCATCTCTTACTTTCCTCTGAGAGTGAAAARAAATGCTCTTTAGGTGCAAATACTGTATGAAGAAATATAGTTTTACAAAGAAGTATTCCTTAAAAGAAACATTTTCATGTAACAGACAGCTTAGTCTGAACTGAATGCTGTTATTTGTGAAATTGTGTTTGTTGAAGGTATTGGTGCCTCCTGTGGTAAACCTGCTGCATTTTGTTCTGAGAGGAATAACTACCTGTTTTTTTTGTTCAAAATCCTTACATCTGTACAGGATTCTAGTAGTGCCACTAAATGCACAGGTACGTAGAAAATTGGTCATTCTTCACTTCTCAACTGCATCTGTTTGCAGGAAACTTCTTTTTTTTTTTTTTTTTTTGTTGTTCTTGTGGTTTTTTTTTTTGTCTTTAATGTTTTTTCCCCCATTCGAAAGCTGATCTCTTATAGTGAAATCACGTATGCTTGTTTGGTTAGAACACTAAATGACAAACAAAAAAGTTTGAAAATATTTTTTCCTTGGCTTTTCATATAAGAGATTATAACCTACCTCTTTACATAGTTCCAGAAGTACTTGTACTTTTCATGAAGCCCATGCATGGGGTTGTTCCTGAATATCACTAAGACACAAATATCTTTGTTTACAAATATTAGGTATTAGTACCTTTGCCTAAAATCTATTAGGCAAAAATGTATGAAATTGCCCACAAAGTTACTCAGATTAAGTGCTAGCAATGAGACTTTGAATGAATTGTTGAGTGTTTAACTTTAGGATCAGAGGTAGTTACAAGTTAGTAGTAACAAGGAGAGCTTGAAGCACCATGCTGGGAGGGCACAGTGAGAGCAAACAGGGTTGAGTAGGTTAATTTGTCCAATAAACACTGCCTTATTGATCTTTCTGCCCTGCCTTGCAGCTCCCAGTATCGTTCCTCTGCAGAGGGATCATCGGGCAAGGACAGGTACATACAGCCAATGTGCAGGTGAGGGGAAGTAGAGACCTTTATTTTACTGCTCTGACCATCTGTGCCCGTGTTTGGGGAATTAGACTTGGATATAAAGTACAGTCAGTCAGTACTACAGTATGTATTTCTAATCCCAGTAGCAAAACTTCTGTTAATGTCAGTGGAGCTTTAAGACGTTTCAAAGCAGTGCTTTCAGTGCTTTCCAGTTTCTCTCCATTTTCTTTTTTTTTYYTTTTTTTTYYTTTTTTTTTTTCTCTCTCTCAAAATGTAGCATACACCATAGTTCAACAATTAGGGCTTCTTACTTCTATACCTAAAAGCTTTGGCTGTAAATGCACTGAGTACAATTTTCTTTCTTTCTTATAGAGTAATTGCTCTCCATTATTAAATAACCATTCTCAATTTCTCTGTTGCAATGCTTTCAGGATAACAATACATCTATCAATACTTAAATCTATCTATATAAATAAATACATGTTTTATCACTTAATTGTTTTGAAAATATCATTTGAAGGATTAGAATATAAATATTTTCTAGTCGAGTGACAAAAATCTCTTCCTTCTGATGAGGCCTTGCTAAATCAATATTTGTGATCAAAATCGCCAGTAATCAGAAAAGGAAAAAGCCAAATTAGGTTCTTATTTTAACATGCATGTCTCGGCAATCTGACTCAGGCTTTAAGAAGGACAGATGTGCCAGTTACTGAGCAGTGTTTCTGTGCAATAAAAACAGTAGCATGATATTGGTCATTAAGGCAAAGAAAATAACTAAGTTTATTTGACCCAASATAGGCCTGAAAAACAAATAGTATAAGGAAAGAGATGTGCTGTTTCAGTGTTGTGTCTTTTGTCTAGAGCCAATGTTGCTGCACGTAGGTATCAACTGATACCRATATAGACCCCTTTTGATATCAAGAGACATTGATACCTGTTAACTTCCTATTTCTATCAACAGTCATCAATGTTGATTGATAAGTATGGAAATAGGTCCTCATTGAAGATTCTGAAGACAAGATGTGATGATATTGATACAGTCAATGCTACTAGGAGTGAAAGCATTAGATACCCACTGAAACTGAGAATATTGATGGTTATTCATAGGGATCAATAGATTCCTATATAAAGATATGGACATTGTTAGGCATCTATTCTTCTTGATATTGAGATATTGCTGACTGTAGATGCAAAATGAACCTGAGAGTGAAAGCACTAGATACCTGTTGAGAATGTGAGGTATCAGTGTCTGTCAGTGGGTTTCGATATTTATGGATATCATTCCATAGTGATAGGTTGTGACATGAGCGCTCCTCAAGGCCTCAGTTTTGGGAATGGTCAATGCTGATGGTAGTCAGTGCCTCCTGAGAGTCAAAGCTAGAGGTCAGTGTAGATCAAGAGGTATTGAGTCAGGGAACATCACCAGGGAGTGATGTTGATGGTTGTCAAGAAGTGTTGCTACCTGTTGATATGGATCACTCCCGTGGGTAGGTATGGAACTTGACAGGACTATCTTAATTATGTAACTTCCTTGAAATTTTAAGGGAAGGAATCCTGTTCTTCTTGCAGGTAGTGCCATGGATACCAAGATATATACAGTCCAAATTTAGTAATGTGTGATAATAATGCAACAATAGTTAAACTATAAGTACTAGTCAGTAACCATAGTGTGTCCTCTTCTTCACGGAGGGGTAAAGTAGTTCGTACCAAACCGTTTTAGTAGAAGAGATGAGAGTACTGTGTTGTACACTGTGTTTTAAACAGGAGGTGCACAGCCACATACTTAATAGCACTCAAGCTGTTGCAGAAAATAGAAATAATATAGTCGCATCAGCATGTTGTAAGTGAGGTCTGCCAAGAGGAGTGGCATCTTTATCTAATCTAGTGATTATGGAGCTTAGCCAAGAGCCATGTATTCTTGGTTCCAGTCTCTATGTCCTTGATTATTTCTGGCTTGTTTTTGTTTTTCAATCCAGATGCCATCTAGTGTTAGATGCTTCTGCACCCCAGGGAGCAGAAACTCTGTTCCAGGTCTCTTCCACTCAGATCTATGGTTGAGCTTCTCTGGGGCTCTGTCAGGCCTAATCACTGCTGTATTTTCCTGCGGGAGGTGGGAGCTGTAGTTTGAGCCCTCATCAGCTGGGGAACACCTGGAATCCAGCTGCACTACTTCCTAAGCAAAGACACCTCTTGGGTATTGTGCAAAATGTCATGGCTATGAATACAAACTTGGCATGCCTTAGGATCGCTCAGAACAGCCCAGATAAACCAGACTCTTCAGGAGGAGCAGCTAGGCTGAAAATCCCAGCCAGCCTCTGTTGACAGAGAAATGCCTAGGTTGCCAGCTCATCTTGGATTTCTCAAAAATCCAGTGCAAAATCCCCGTGTGCCTTCRGTTCTCATTACCCTCTGATCTGTGAGGCAGAGTGTTGGCGTCTGGCATCCAGGATTCAGCTGTGTCTGTCCTGTGCACCTCTAGCAGCTGGGCCCCAGAGCCCCGTTGAAGGGTTTTGTGCCCACAGAGCAGTGCAGGAGTGAGGGAGGAAGCGGCGCTGCAGCCTGTGTGAGGGCACAAGCCTGGCAGCGTCTGGGACCCTGCGAATTAGGGTTCAGCCCAAAAGTCATGTGAGTGTTTCAACAGGGAGATCCCAAGTCTGCTTGTGCATTCAAAAGATGCTTATAAAAGGAGAGAATAGCTTGGACATTTAAAAAAAAAAAGCATAAGTACAAATGCATGGTTTCAATTCAGCTCTGAAAGAAAATAGTCTTCTAATACATACATGAGYATTTAACACGTGAACTTTCCTAGTTTCATGAGGAAAAAATGTTTACTGTTAGCAAGTGTAGTATGCTCAGTGATTATCCAGAGATTGTGTCCCATAGCTATTAAGTCAGATAACTTARAAAGGAGTAATAGCAGGTTCTTTCATGAAGCTATGCTGCACTTGGCTAGCTGCTCCGGACCTCCTGGAAAACCATGTCTGGTGTCAGCAGTAAAAGCAAGGCAATTCTGTAAGATGCATCATGGTTCTTTCGAAAACGTGGAGTTTGAAAGCTTGACAGTAGAGTCTTGGATACTGTTCATCTCACTCTAGTCATAAACTTCTTACTATGTGGGCACCACATTACCTGGATAAATTCTTTCATTAGTCTTCCAGTTGAGCTACACAATGCTTTACATACCTTAAATCTAATCATGTTCACAGTGTAAAGCTTACCAGGCCTTATTTGCATTTATGGCTTATAAAACCTGAACCTGTTTTCCTGAATGCATGATGGTGCTGTATATTGCACACTGCTTCGCTTTGAATGCCAGCCTCCTAATGACTTCTAACTTATTCCTAAGGCTACTTACTTTTATTTTAATGCCATTGAGTTACCTCTAATAGAGCTGCATATAACCTGAGGCTTTGCCCTCTTACGCGAGGGTATAGCAGGACTTTCTTGGCTGCATTAGTTGTCTCACTACAGATAACTCAACCTGGATTTGCATTAGGTGTTGAGTGTCCCAGCTGCATGTCCCATTGACTGCAAAGAACACTTGAAAGTGATCATCTCTTTCTGCAAAAGAAGACTCTTTAATTTGCAGTGGTAAATTTGAAATTGGAAGAATGGAAAGTACAAAGAAGTATAAAGTACAAAGTGAAGGAAGGGATTTATTTGCGTTCTCCTGGTTCCAGTATACAGATGTGAGTATTAGCTATGTTTTGAGATCTCCTGAATGTTTGAGAGCATCCAATATTTGTCTCAACAAGAAAAGGAAAAAAATTATGGATGAAATAAAATCATTTTTTTTAAACATATTGTGCATATTGTCACTGATTTGCAATTTATTTCTTCATCCAACGGAAGCAGGAAAAATCAAGCATTTTCAGCTCTGCAATTCTATGATTACATGAGAATCCCCTGAGGAGATGATAAAACAAGTGTGACAACTCAGATAAATTATTGCTTCTGGCTAATTGTTTCCAAACTAGGGATGCAGTCGTATCATGTCCAGTTCATGAAGCAGCTGTTTCTTATAGAAATGCTATGATTCATTCTCTATTCCATGTCTATTATATGCTCTTGTCGAATTTAATGCCATTACTTATGGAGAAATATTTCTGTTTATTTTGAGAAATATATTGGAAACTACCATTTTTTAAGCAGTGTATTTCTGTGCTGTGCTATTTCCCTTCATCCAAAAGCATGTGGAAAGATGTGTCAGAAAGACAGATATCTTATAAAAGCATGAAAGGTGACACCTTGGCTTCAACACAATTCTGTCATTTCTAATAGTTTACTGTCATATTAACTGCTAATATCCTATCCTATTACCTCCAAAAATTTGGAMCAGATGTTGAGATGAAACTAGACCAACACAAAACAATAGTGTCTTTTGCACAAAATCACTTCAAATAAATACTGATGGACTGTTTCTTCTGGAAAAATTAAAAAAAACCCTACTCCACAAATAGAAAAATTTCTGACCAGTTTTGGCTTTCTGCCAAAATTGAATATGAAACTGAAGCTGTTGAGATCCTGACTACTAATTTGTCTGATCTTTTACTTCTGTTATTTTACTTTTCTCCMTGTAAAACAGGACATTATAATCCCTTCCTTTAAAGAAGGCTCTCTCTCTCTCTTTTAGGTTTTATACCATCTTATGATGGTATAAAAACTGCTTTCCTTGTAGTTTAACACACCTTCCTCTTTGTTCAGGTACTGTAGACCACACCAAGAACCTTCCTCTGAAGAATCTCGTTTGTTGTTTAGGAGCCGATGGATTTAAAGCCGAGGTTTTTCCCTAGGAGTTCAGAACAGAAGCTGAAGAAGTGGAGCTGCCTGGTGAGTTTTATGTCTCTAAATTAGCACTGAAGGCAACAGGRAAAATGAAGAAGTAATTTCACCATAAAGTCTTGTGAGTATACATACAGGTGAGTAGGAAAATAAAGTATCCTTCATCTATGAACCATACTCTCTCCTGGGGAGGAGAGGTACTGAACTGATTTTACCCTCTC